CTTCTCTTTCCACAGATGTAGTCAATTTGATTTCTATGTATTCCATCTGGTAAGGTCCATGTGTATAGTCATCTGTTATGCTGTCTAAAGAAAGTATTTTAAATGAACAAATCATTGGTTTTGCAGAATTCTATCATGTGTTCTCCAGCATCATTTCTATCACCAAGGCCATATTTTCCAACTACTCTTCCTTCTTCTATAAACCTAAATTTTAACCTAGGTTTATGTTCTCTTCTTCACTTTTATATATCTGATTTTTTAAAGGTTAAGTTCAGATTATTCATTCATTCTCTCTCCCCTATCCCTTTCTTTCTCTGTGTCTCCTTTACAAACTTAACCCCACCCCCCAACCATACGCATACATGAATATCTTACAAGCATGAACTTTCAAGATGCCAACATACTAGATGTTTATCAAACAATGTATATAGGCAGACAGGCAAGGGTATACATACACTGTTCTTATCTGTCATACAAAAGTCAATACTTTATACCAGCACAATTCCCACATGCAATTCCAGATTGAATATCTGATTTTATATCACTTTTTGCATGATCCTTTCACGAGTGTTGGTGTCCACACTGATGGACTAAATGACTGTTTGATTCATTTTGACTAACCCAATGTTGTTTCCTACATTCCACATTGATTCGAGTTAGTGCTACTTTCCCAACAGATTCCACAAAACTCCATAGCTGTCTTTTCTGTTATTTACCTACACTTCCCTCCATTTACTTCTGTCCTTTCTCTACTCTTATGGATTTCAAGTAGACTGCCTATTCTTTTCGATTTTGTTTCTCATAAAATATCTGCTTTGTGTCCAAATTGTTGAACATTAAGTATTGCATTTGACTTTAATACCCACTCTGTTTTCTTTCTTTTTCTGGAGGTTTCTAACTGTTTTCTGCTAATAAATAAGATATTTCTTCTCTTTTTTTGGAAAAACATTTTAATGTGTTTTCAATGAAGGTTTACACAGCAACTTAAGTTCCCATTCAACAATTTCAACATAAGTTGTTCAGTGACACTGGCTACATTCTTTACAATGTGTGAATATGCTCATTTCCATTCTGGTTGTTCGATTTCCATTAATTTAGTTTTCCTGTCCCTTTATATTATCATTGTTATTTTAAACTAAGTGTTGATCATTTGGTCTCATATAGGTGCATCTTTTTTTTTTTTTTTTTTTACTTTTAATTGTAAATCAAGGGAAGGTTTACAGAGATCACCAGTTTTGCATGTAACAAACATACACTGTTTTATTTCAGTGACTACAATCCTACACATGCAACAACAGTTATCCCACTTCCTCCCTGTGGTTCCTATTTCCACTCCACCCTCCTTCCCATCCTTTCTCAAACTTTGTCCTTAGGTAAATGCTGCCCTTTTGATCCTGAATGATTGATCATTCTATGGTGAGCATACCTTAATAGTACTGGTGTCCCCTCCTGTATACCTATCTACTGCTTGGCTGAAAATTGGGTCACAAAGGTGAGTTCCTTTCCACACCTCAGGGTGGTTCTTCCAGTCTCTTTCTGATCAGTAAACCTGGTCATTTTTGTAATTTTGAGTTTTGTTCCACATTTTCTCACACTCAGTCAGGGAGGTTCTAACGTGATCCCTTTCAGAGCAGTTGGTAGTGGTAGCTGGACATCATCTAGTACCTCTGGTCTCAGAGTATTGGTGATTGATGGTCATCTGCTTCATTGGTTCATTGGACTGGTTGAGTCAAAGCACCTTCAATATGCATCACTATTCTTTCTTCCACCCAAGGAGAGACCAGTAGTCACACCTTAGATGACTGCACGTGAGCTGTTAAGATCCCAGTTGCTACTCATCAAAGCAGGATGTAGAACATTGTCTTTGTGAATTATGCTACACCAATTGATCATGATGTCTGTCCACGGTCACCATGGTAATGAACTGGGAATTCATTGCCTTAAGATGTTCAATAATATCTAAGAAGTTTTTATCATTTTGCACTGTTTGCTCCACCACATTCATAGGTGTGTTTGCAGCAAAGGTAAATACCCAGGTACAAATATCCTCTTTCAAACACTTAAATATTTGTGGGTATACTCCCACTCTCTCTCTCATATCCATTCAGATGTATAATCTGTCCATTATATACATGCAGAACACTGTTGTTTCAGGATTGTGTATATAACACTAATATCTCTCTATCCCCTTTAATCCATGCACACCTTCCTGTTTCTTCACCTGTCTTCATCATTCTTCTGCAGAATTCCTGTTTGTTGTATTTGTGTCTATCCTCCAGCATTTTGGTTAGTAGCAAAGTTCTTAACTATTTGAGCAACGCAGGAACTCCACCCAGAATAATTAGGACATCATAAATGCTAATCCATGGTATTTTTATTATAATAGATTTCCAGATCCTTTGGCATGTCATTCAATAGCATGGCATATGGGCAATTTTTAATGTGGGCATTCATTGCCTACTTCACTACCTTCAGCACTTTCTGCTCTTTAATAAGTACCCTGCCCTCTGGTTATACTGAACAACCAGTGATTCTACAAACACCCAGGTGTCTCTCACATCTCTTTTCTTTGTTTTGCAAACCAAGAGTCTGTTTGTGAAATGCCCTTAATTCATCATGGAAGATAAGGTTTCATCTCCATTCAATAGGTTATTTGATGTAACCTCCTCAGAAAGCAATCCCTGAACACTTCAGTTCAATCGTTGTTGTTTTTTTTTTGCTATGGAATCTTCTCACATCTAACTCACTGCAAGTGGTCAAACTTTTGCTCACAAAAGCTTTTGCTGCCTGTTTACTTGCTTCCCCACAAGATGAAGAGCTTTTTGAGTGAAATCAACCCCTCCTTTCATTTCTTCATCTCTAGCAACTTTCAACAATGTCTAACACATTGTTAAGTGCTCAACAGTAAGTGAAAAGACAAATTTAAAGTGCAAACTAAAGGAGCCCTGGCATGGCTCTGTAGGATCAGCACTAGACTTCAAGGTCTGTTTGAATTGCAAGGTTGGCAGCTCAAACTCATCAGGCTCACCTTGAAAACTCTATGTGTATAGGGTTTCCAAGGAGCGGAAGATGATGCTTTATGCTCCCGCAAACATTTGCAGCTGGCACAATAATAACAAGGCTAATAATATTATTTTCTCTTTTTCTCCTTAGTAGATACCACCAAATATTTTTAGTTTTTCTTACCAGAATCATTTAGATATAAAATTAAGTATTCTCTTGGCACATTCCATGAATTTTGCTGTGTAGTTTATAATTATTGGTCATTTATAAATAAGTAGTCATTATATTTTAATTTATCTTTAACAAAGAAGCAAATGAATAATGAAAAAAAATTTTTTAAATATGTCCGGTAGTGTATGTATGTGTTGATGAACATGTGTATGTGTGTTTTCTTATTGATTTTGAATATGACTACATCTTGGTAAATAAAGTAACATGGATAATTTGGCCAGTCCTCCAGTGTTAGAACCTGTGGTAGGAATTATTCCTCCATCACTGAGTTGTGTGAACCTGTATAAGTTCATAAAAACACTAGCATCAGATTCCTCAACTATAGACTAGAGATGATGTTAGCACACTCTTCATACCATTGTTATGATGACCAACTGAGAATATATGTGAGTACTTAGAACAATGCCTGTCACAAAGAAAACTTACAACAAATATCATCTATTATTATCATTATTGCTGTTACTGTCATTATTATTTTTCCTCTGTGAAATTTCTTTTACAGACAATCAAGTGTTCATGCTTCGCAATGTTGTCCATAGCTTGTCATGATCCACACAATCGAAAGCTTTTTCGTAGTCAATAAAACACAAGTAAACATCTTTCTGATATTCTCTGCTTTCAGCCAAGATCCATCAGACATCAGCAATTATATCTCTCATTCCATAGCCTCTTCTGACTCTGGCTTGAACCTTGGAAGTTCTCTGTCAATGTACGACTGTAGCCATTTCTGTATTACCTTTAGCAAAACGTTACACACATGGGCTATCAAAGAGACTGTCTGATGATTTCCGCACATATATAAAAATAATAATAAATGGGAAAAATATTGTTGCCCTGAAGCTGATTTTAACTCATGAGAATCCTATGTGTAGCATAGTAGAACTGCATTTCATATTTTTTCAATATTGTGAACTTTTGGATATAGACTACCTGGTCTTTCTTCTCATATGCCCCTGAGTCGATTCAAACAGCAAATCTTTCAGTTAGTAATTGAGGTCCTAACCATTTGTGCCACCCAGATACTCTTGACTGATATGTGAAACCTTTTGCCTTTGAGTTTATTTAACTCATAAGGACGCTGTAGACCAGAGTAACCCATTAAAGTTTCCAAGCTGTAATCTTTTCAGAAACAGACTGCTACCTCATTCTTCCAAAGAACAGCTAGAGGATTTGAACCACTGACCTTTTGGTTAGCAGCCAACCACTTAACAACTGTGCTTCTAGTGCTCCTAGTTGTTATATACCAAACCCGAAGCCTACTGTCATCAAGTTAAGAAATTCCAACTCATAGAAACCCTATGGAATAGAGAGAACTGCTTCCCAGGGTTTCCAAGACCATCCATCTTTATGGAAGCAGACAGCCTCATTGTTCTCCTGCAGAGAGACTGGCTGGTTGGTTTGAGGCACCAACATTTCAGGTAGTAACCTAGCACTTAACCCATTTTGCCACCATAACTCCTTGTGTGATATCAAGTTGACTCATAGCAACCCCGTATAGGGTTTCGAAGAGTTAGTGGGTTTGAACTGCAACCTAGTGGTTACCCATCCAATGTGTATCATACAGCACCACACCAGAGCTCATGACATGACTTGATAATATATATTATATATATTACAAGATATTATAATATATATTATATTATCAAGTTAATATATAAAACAGCAGATTCATTGCCATGAAGTTGATTCTGACTCATAGCCATCCTATATAAGGTTTCCAAGACTCTCCCCTACAGAGTGGCTAATGGGTTTGAAGTGAAGACCTGGCAATTAGAGGTCTGGACACCTTTTAAAATTATTTTTGTTCCTTTGTTGTTGTTGTTGTTAAGTGTCATCAAGTTGATTCTGACCCAGAGTAACCCTGTAGAGGGTTTCCAAGGAGCAGCTGGTGATCTTGAACCACTGAAGTTGCAGTTCAAATGATTTGCAGTCTGATACATTAGCCCACAGCGCCATACCAGGACTCCATTTAAGTTGTGTTTATTAAGGTGATATCTCTATATGAGCTGTGACTCCAATGATGCAATTTTAAAACATTATCCACCATACAATTTGCATGAAAATGAAAGATAGTATAGACGTTTACCCTGGTGAAACATAGTATTTTGGTGCACAGAGTCCATGCTTTATAATGCCTGATAGAGTGAGTAAAGGCAGTGTATAAGAGTAAGAAAAATGGGAAAAATTCACATTCATTGTTTGAGTGAAGATGCTCTGAGAACAAAATCTTACTAGCAGCTAGTTAAAAAACTTAGAGTTCATGTAAAAATTTTAAATTAATTTTTTATCTTTTTGACTGTTAGATATATTGTCAAATCTGGTGCAATATTAAAATTAATGTATTTATAATATGGTAATGATTCAATGTACTGTAGCTGAAAAGAATATTTTTACTAGTTTATGGAGTCCTGGTATGGTGTTGTGGGATAAAGCACTAGACCACAAGGACAGTTTGAACCACAAGGTCAGCATTTTAAATTCACCAGCGACTCCTTGGAAACCCTATATAACAAAGTATCACACCTTGTTTTCTTACAAACTATTTGTTGTCGCTGTTGTCGTTATGTGCTGTCAACTTGGTTCCAACTCATAGTGATCATGTATAAGGTTTCCAAGGAACGGCTGGTGAGTTTGAACTGCTGAATTTGTGGTCCAAAATGACTTTGCAGCCCAGTGCTTTAGCTTACTTCTTTGTGGCTTAAATAATAGTTAAATGTCTTACTGTAATGAAAGATTCTATCCACGGAATTAAAATTCAATAACGCTATATTTATTAAGTTCACCTTCAACTTCTTTTTTTTCCTTCTCCTTCCCTCCCTCCCTTCCTCCTCCTTCTGTCCCTTTCTTCTTCCTCTTTCCCTTCCTTCTTCCTTTCTTTTTTCCTAGTTTTTCTTTAACTCTCCCTCACTTCATCCTTCTATCCTTCCTTTCTTCTTTCTTTCCTTCCTTTCTAATTCTTCATTTCTCCTTCAAAGTCCTAACTAGTAGGAGTCAACATGGCAATTGCAAAAAGCAGTAAACATCACCAAGATTGCAATATTCGTTTTTGGAAAATTATTAGATTTGGGGAAAGACACTCTGTGTGTACACGTGTGTGTATGCAGATCTAGTTGGAAATGACAGGCATTCACCCAAGACTCAGTGTGCTTGGATTACTCTCATTAACATAAATACAATGTAAATTGAAAATTATTTTCCAATTTTCAGTCTCTTACCTCTGTTTGTGTTAGTGCCTGACGGGTTTGCTTCTCCTTCATTCTCAATTTTTTCCTTGCTTTTTCCACATTTCTTCTCATTTTTTTTTTCAGCTCAACTATATCAAAAATCGCCTATAATATATTCAGAATCAAGTCACATAGTACTTAAAATCCAATTATTTTAGTTTAGACCAAATAGTTTTCAAGTGCCTTTTAAAATATTTAATATATATATATATATTTTTTTTTTAATTATAAAGGGAAGGAACCACACATGGACTTCAAAACCATAGTGTGATGTCTGAAATTCCAATATTATGCTTGACTCCTATTGAGTCCAATCTATTTTTGTTAACTAACAGAAACCAGTAATAAATTCTACTGATGTCTAGTCTCATAGTGACTCTGTAGAACAGAATAGAACTGCCTTATAGAGTTTCAAGGCAACAAACCTTTACAGAAACAGACTGACACGTATTTCTCCATAGAAATAATAACATTCCTTGACAATATTTAAAATATTTAACCAAAATTAAAAGCTCTAAGTATAAATTGGCAGCATTAGATATTAAAAAGTGTGTAAAAACTTATTCTTTCTAAAAGTTTGTACTAAATTGACTATCTGATAAAAACAAAAAGGATTGCTGAAGTATAACAAGATATAAAACAATAGGTATTATAAAATAAGGGGAAATAAACATCATTCATCTTTTCTGGAGTTCATTATCGTACTCAGACAATTACACTAAGACTTTTGATACAATTAATAAATTTCTGTCAAATGTAAGGAGTGCTGTTAATAAAATTATTTATCCCATGAGGTGTTTTTGTTGTTATTTGTTGTTAAGTACTTTTGAGTCAACTTCAACTCACACCGATCCCACACACAACAGAATGAAACACAGCCTGGTTTTGCTACATTCTCACAATTGTTATGTTTGAGCCCACTGTTGAAGCTACTGTGTCAATCCATCTAGTTGTGTTGAGGGGGTGGGGGTGAGGGGGTCTTCTGTTTTTTCACTGACCCTCAATTTTACCAAATCTGATGTCCTAAGTCCAGAGACAAAGTGACACTGTCCTCATATCTTACAAAAATCCCTACTGGTTCTATATTCATTACATGAGCATTCGTTCTGTGAGCACTAGGATAGCATTTGTTGTTGTTGTGAAGTGCCAGCCAGTCAGTTCCAACTCATAGAGACACTGTATAGGGTTTCCATGGAGTGGATGGTGAGCTTGAACCACCAATCTTGCGCTCCAGTGCATTAAGCCGCAGCACCACACCAGAACTCCAACAATAGCATTTAGAAGTCCTAAATAGAGTATTATGTCCACAATTTCCTTATTTCTTTGCTTTTTCACCTTGTGCAGCTTACTTAACCTGTTTTGCACCAATTTTTCTTCAAGTCTATGATACAGGTTTACTCCCTCCTGTCTATTTCATAGGGAAGTTCTGAAGAGCAAAAGAAACTTTGGTAATAGAAATGCTTTGTGAATCACAAAATATTTTTAAATGAGGGAATTTTGGAAACTCTGGAAGTCTAGCAATATTAAAACTACATCATCATTTCCAGAAGTGGGTGGGGGGACAATGTTATCCAAGTGGTCCAAATCAATATATATTTATGTCCTTGTTGCAGGTATGGACAAGAATATATAACACGTACCCCACCCTCTAGTTTTTAAAAAGACTAATGACATGATACATACATATTTTTTCTACGATTTTTTTTTTCTCCTTTGGGAAGGGCTAGTATTATCAGTTACTGTCAGAAGCTTGTTGGTTTGTAAATACTTTACTGTTGTGTGCTGTATTTTTCACCTTGGCTGTCATAACTTCTTTTAAATGCATCAAAGATTTACCATGCATATGTCAAAATAGCTTATATTTTATATTTGGATGCAAAGAGCCTCAGTATTTCATTAACAAACAGTAAAGACTGAATAAAGTTTACCATAGTGGGCAGTCACACCAAGTAAGTCACCAAGTACCTCTTTGAAAACTGCTTATCCTATAAGCTCTGCAAAGAATACGAGATTCTAAATAATAGAATTCTAGAATCCAGTAAATGTGATCCAAAGCCATTAACTGGTGTTCCTGTATAGATCCATTCTGTATCTACTATGTAGCCCTGAAATAGTCACTTAACTTGTCTGTGCTTTTATCTTTTCCTATGTGAAATCATAATTTTCCAAATAACAATAAAATCACAAAGGTGTCTGGCCAACTGAAATATTCCTGTGCATTAGTATATGGATTCATTTATAAACACTTACAGAACAATGTCTTTGATGGATACTTCTAATTCGGACAGCCTCTTCTTCTAGTTCAATCAGTGGCTCCTCGAATTTTGCCAAAGCTATGGCATGTAGTACTTTCTTATCTAAAAGGGTCTGCTGCTCATGTCGTTGGGCTTCTTGAATATTATACAATTTTTTCTGACAATAAAGACCATGATGCACTTAGTTATTACCTAACCATTTACTGAGACCCTACATTGTGCTAGGCAATGATCTTTGCTGTTATTTGAAAATTAATAGATGCCATTATAAAAGGAAATGGGTAAAAATAAAGTATATTTAACAGCACACAGCTATTATTAAAAGAAATGAAATAAAAGATATCAAGAAAATTAAAATTCTTACATAAGTACTGCAGGACAATAAGGTTTGAATATATACAGAGAAAACATAGTGTTATACATGAAATGCTTGCAAAGTAAGGTCAAAGAACCAGTGAGCAGAGTTGTTGTTAAGTGCCATCCAGTCTGTTCTGACTCAGAGTGAAGCTGTATAGGGTTTCCAAGGAGGTGTTGGTGGGTTTGAACTGCTGGCTATTCATAAATTGTTAAACAAAAGAAAAAAAAACCAAAGCTGGGTGAAGTGTGGGATTATTGAGTAAATATGGCTAGAAATAAATCAGTAAATATGCTATAAACCCACTGCCACTGAATTTGTTCCAATTCATAGTAATTCTATAGGATAAAGAAGAGCTGTTCCTTAGCAAATCTTTACAGAAGCAGACAGCACTGTGTCTTTTTCCCAAAGAGAAACCATAGACCTTTTGGTTAGCAGCCCAGCATTCAACTCATTGCACCACCAGGTCTCCTTGTTCAAACACACAGGAGCAGAAAAAAACAAATTTCCTAACAGAAGTAATGACAAATACTTAATTTGCTTTGAAGAGGACTGAATTAGGTCAAATAATTTTTAAAACACTATTTTGTGCAGTTTTTTGTTTTGTTTTTCTCTTGACTTTACTTATAACACGAACTTGAAGTATGTGTGTGTTGTTGGTGTTGAGTGCTGTGAAATCAATCGTAATGCATAGTGGCCCCAGGTGACAGAGTAGAGTTGCCTCCGTTGGGTTTCCTAAGCTTCTTTCCAGAAGCAGGTCACCAGGTCATTCTCCCTGGAGACCACGGGAAGGAAAGACATTCTAGAGATGTCATGCCTGGGATCAGAAAAAAAAAGCAGTCTGTGTTTACACATAAAAATTAAGAAAATTAATTTTTCTAGGTATCATATTCTTTACTTTCAAGATCTTTATTTAAAAAATAGCTCATAGCATATTTTTTTTTCAGGGTTAAATAAAGAAATTCAAGTGCAAGACACTAAAAGTAAAGAAAACATAACATCATCACAAAGCAGGCTAAAGCGTTTAGACACTTAGGAATAAGATCCCCCTGCCCTTTTACTAGACTGGCAGAAATTCCCATTAAGCCACAAAATGAGATATGTGTATGGGAGGTCAGTTTCTTTATGCATGATCAGACACTGCTAGTTGTACACAGAGGGCAACTGTCATCAGCTAAGGAAAGAAAACTGCTGGCTTGCAAAGCAAGTAGTGAAAAGATGCCTCATTACAGGCAAATTTAAAATGCTAAGTAAAATGCAAATTAAAGGAAGAATAAAATTTTGAAACTAAACGAGTATTACCTGAATCAGTAATGCAGTAGTCACTTCATTCCGAATAAGTTTTTTCAAGTAATCGTCTCTGCCCTAAATATTATCAAATTTTTTAAAATGAGAGTTTAATTCACAGAAAATATTTTAAAGACAATTTCTAATACAATATATATTCTACGTATATTAGAATAGTAAAATATTCATTTACATTGGGCCGGTTCTGACACATAGTAACCCTGTATAGATTTTCAAGGAGCAGCTCACAGGTTTGAACCACAGACCTTTTGGTTAGCAGCTCAGTGTGTATTCTACAGAGCCATACCAGGAATCCAAGTATTATAAAATAGGGATGAAACAATCTGTTATTTGAGGCAAAGCATTTAAGGAATACAAGAAAAAGATAACCGAATTTATGTTCAACTCAGTTTGAACTTTATAGTCCTGAACAGAAAAAAAAAAGAAAAAAGCAGGGATCAAAAACTGGACAAAAATCTTTTCATTTCTGTTCATAAAATCTTTCAGTTTTTAAAATATTATTTTCCAGAACATACATATTCAATTTTGAATACAAGATAGATTTAATTCAAGTATGAAGTTTATAAACTATGATCAGATTCTCCATTTGGTTAAATTCATTCAATTATTTATAATCATCACTTGAGAGTTAATGAGTAAAAATATTGTTTAATATTTTTAATAATTATATGTTATATTATATAATAATTTTTAATCATTATAATAATCTTAAACTTATCAGAGCGGTTCTTTAAATCGCCACACTAAATCAGAATAGGCAGAAGTTCCAAAGTGCTTTCGGTTTTAGAATTATATCTCACGTCTCCTAAAGCCTTGATTTAGAGGATAGTTGGCTTGGGTTTAGGCCATCCTCTACATTTAAAACCACCCATCATCTGTCAGTTTGTCATACTGTGGTGGCTTGTGAGTCTCTGTGATTCTGAAAGCTATGCCACCACTACTTTAAATACCAGCTGGGTCAATCATGGTGGACAAGTTTCAGATGAGCTTCCAGACAAAGACAGACTAGGAAAAAGGAGTGACAAACTACTTCCGAATATTTAGTCACTGAAAACCTTATGAATAGCAGAGAAATATGGTCAGATACAGTGCTGTAAAATGAGCCCCTCAGGTTGGAAGTCACTCAAAATGCAACTGGGGAAGGGCTGCCTCCTCAAAGTAGAACTGACCCTGAAGACGTGAATGGAGTAAAGCCCATGGAAGAAAAGCCCGCAGGACCTTCATTTGCTGATGAGGCACAACTCAAAATGAAGAGAAACAGCTGTAAACATTCACTGAAAATCAGAACATGGAATGTACGAAGTATGAATCTAGGAAAATTGGAAGTTGTCCAAAATGAAATGGAATGCATAAGCATCGATATCTTAGGCATTAGTGAGCTGAAATGGACTGGTATTGGCCATTTTGAATCTGATGATCACATGGTTTACTATGTCAGGAATGACAAATTGAAGAGGAATGGTTTTGCATTAATTGTCAAAAAGAACATTTCCAGATCAGTCATGAGGTACAATGCTGTCTGTGATAAGATAATATTCATGCACCTACAAGAAAGCCCAGTTAATAACACTATTATTCAAATTTATGCACCAACCACTAAAGCCAGTGAGGATGAAATAGAAGAATTCTACCAACTTCAATCTGAAACTGATCAAACATACAATCAAATGTATTGATCATTACTGGTGATTGGGACAAAAGTTGGGAGCTAAGAGGAAGCATTAGTAGTTGGAAAACAAGGCCTTGGTGATAGAAATGATGCTGGAGAATGCATGATAGAATTCTGAAAAACCAATGATTTGTTCATTTCAAATACCTTCTTTAGAAAGTATAAGAGATGGCTATATACATGGACCTCACCAGAAGGAATACATAGAAATCAAATTGACTACATTTGTGGAAAGAGAAGATGGAAAATTCCATATCATAAGTGAAAACAAGGCCAGGGGCAGACTGTGGAACAGACCATCAATTACTCATATGCAAATTCAAA